ATTGCTTTGCACTTCTTTTTGTCATCAAGCAAATCAAAGACTAAGTAATCTAAAGGCAATGTATTGGGCGGCAGATCCAGAAATGATGGTCCAGAGTGTGTCCCTCGCTTCATGTCCCAAATTCAGATTTTGCCATACTTGTTGGCTTCAGTAATGTGAGATGATGACAGACCTATCACAGATCAAGAGAATAGAAAGGCCTGAAACAAATACCACAAAGACACGTTGGCAAATGGTAGGATCTCAGAAAGGAAAAGCCACATCTCATTCAAGCCGATAAAACAGAAAACAAAAAACAAAATGCATGCACAACACAGAGAGGCACAGCCTGGGAAAAAAAAAGAAAAAAGCTTCGAACACTTTGCAGATGTTATACATACACAAGGCTGCAGTGCTGAAAATGTGACATTCATGGATACTGGCACAATTTCCTAAAGCATACATCTGAAACAAAAGTCTACTTGGAAATGCCTTGGAATTCAACACTGTGACGACCATGTCCAAGGCAACCCGAAATGTCATATCAGAGGAGCAGTGGCGAAAAGAATACAAATACCATCTGCAAGAACTTGGAAGTCAGATAAGGCTTTTGCAGTGCAGGCCCGGACAGCTTCAGCAAACAAAATAGGCCGATCACCCTTCTGGTGGATTTCAGCAGCAAGTTCCGCCTCAAACTTATCCATAACTGCAAGCCTCTTGTGCTTGAGATTGGCCTGAAACGCTCCTTCCAGTAACTGCACATATATATATACATATATATATATATATCAACATTGACAGGAACAACAGCCAAACCATACCATGAAACTCAGCTTCAACACAATCCACGGTCCTGGCACCCAATTGACAAGCAACCAAATCAAGGCACGGTGACCAAGATGAAGCGCATACCCAAAAACTACAATTTCAAATTCGTTCACCTGGGCATGGGACGACAAAGAACGGTTTTGCCCCTCTAAACAGCATGTGAAACCACCGAGTTGGCAACATCATCCATTCGCAGCACGGTGCAATGTTTATGTGTTTACCGATGTGTTGAGTTCCTTATAGTTCATATATTTATACCCTACTGAATGAATGGCACATGAAAATAACGCAGCCAAACGCAGTAAGCATTCACGCACACTCACACAATTTGCATTCAATCGTTGCAACTGCAAGACAGACAACCGATGGCTGAGGTGTATGTTTGTGGATGCGTGTTAGTCACCACAACAGCCCCTGTTCCGCCCGGAGGGTAGATCCAAAATCAAAGCAGCTTTACCTCTATTGCAGACAGTGAAGCACAACAACATTTGTGTGTTTACTGATGTGCTGAGTTTACTGATGTGCTGAGTTCGTACTAGTTCATATATTTATACCCTACTGAATGTGAGTGCACTCCCAGAGAACAGCCGGTAAGGCATGGTTTTCTGCAGGGAACAGACTCAACATGAACTCCCAGAGATGCATTCCAAACCTTCCAAGCCGAGTGCACTTTTGAGAAAAAATACATAAGAGTTACTCCGCAAGGACGCTGTTGCCAGTCGACAGCGAGGCAGGTGACAACACGAGCAGCAACCCAAGGGCAAGGCAACAAGGCACCCAACAACCCAGCCACAAAGCACATAGGAAGGAGGGCACTGTGGAGCCAGGGGAGCAGCCAAACGACAGCCAAGCAGCAGGGCTGCATCATTACCAGCAGGCGACAAGGAATCAAGCAAAAAACCACCAACGCAACAAGGTAAGGCAGAGAGAGGTGCAAAGCAGATCGGCAGCCAGTCACTGAGGCAGCACAGAGGGCAGCAAAGCAGTTGTGCAGCACAGACAAGGCAACAAGACAAGGCAAGTGGAAGGCAGCCACGCAGCAAGGCAGCAGCGGCAAGGCCCTCCACTCATACAGCACAGACCAAAGCAGAACGTCACCTACTTACATCCTCATAGAACACTAGAGACTGTAGATTCACAGCACCGTTGGAGCCAGAGAGACGCATAGACAAATACTGCCATCACTCATGGAACACAAACACACGCATTCCGGAACACAACCCCCCCATTTTCTGCCCTTTTTCTTCTTTTTGCTGGCAACGCCAGCCATTTTGATCCAGTACCCTGGAACACAGCACCTAACACGATTTGCCTGGGGCTCATAGTGGTGGTGTAAACCACCAGTACACAGCCCCAACCTTGCTAAAAGAAACTCGACACCTGGTTCGAAAACATCGGCGGCCGGCGATAAAAAACATCAGAGGCCGCCATCACTTTTTGGCATCTGAAAGGGGTCCGCGGCCGATGTATGGTGTGTACTGGTGGTTTAAGGGCTTTCCTTTAGGCAGAAGAGAGGCGCAGGAAAAGACCAGAGAATGCACAAAGTGGACAGCAGAAATAAAATACTCAGAATGAGAAGAAGAAAGAGAAGACGTACATAACTGTGATTGTGTTCATGTGTGTAAAGGTGTTGTCAGGCTCGCTTCAACTACTCCAAAAAACAAAGCATGACTGTGCCAAAGTGTTTCGGTAGATTTTCATGACAGCAGAAATAAAATACTCAGAATGAGAAGAAGAAAGAGAAGACGTATATAAATGTGATTGTTTTCATGTGTGTAAAGGCGTTGTCAGGTTCGCTTCAACTCCTCCAAAAAACAAAGCATGACTCTGCCAAAGTGTTTCGATAGATTTTCACCAATTCATCAGGAGGCTGTGTACCTGAGTGTATGTTTGTGGAGGAAAATAAATATTGCGACGAGCAATGCATTTCTTCTAGTCCGGGAATAAGCACCAGAACTCATCCGGAATATGTGGGAAAACACTCACCTCCAGTGCCTTCACGAGCAAGTTCTTTCGCTTCTCTTCTCTGACTGTCTCATCGAAATATGTAGCTTCTGCATCATACCTGTATTACCAGCATGTAAACATTCAGCATTCCCGTTAACCTTTAGAAAGGAAAAGCTGCCGCAAGCCAAAACTGAGATATCCATTGTTCAGTTGTTCATTCTATACAACATCATGTCTCACTTAAATGAAAGCAAGAGCCCACCTTAGGGAGAGGAAGGGAGGGGAGGGAAAAAAAAAAGGAAAAAGGAAAGCAAGAGTCCACAGGAAACAAGGGAAGAAATCCAGAATCCACAACCAGGAGCCAAGTGCAATCCTCGTGGAATATCCAAAAGTCCAGGCAGCAAATTCAACAAAATAGAAACATCACAACACATGAATCAAGTGAACTTACTCGTCCATGGTTTTTGAAAGGAGGACACCAGCCCTTTTGCCAAACCCAAACATAGTCGACAGTTTGACCGTGGCCTCCAGCTCTAACCATCCCTGCACAGACGCATTCATAAAAATGGCATAACTAGCCGTTACCCAACTGAAAACCAGTGAACAACAGGTTTCGTTATGTAGCATTGTGCCAAGGCACCTACCATAAAAAAATATTCCAGCTGCAGCACAACTCGCAAAATGCGCTGGGGCTAAAGCTGGTCCAATTTCCACATCATTGTAATGTACAAAGAAGCACACACGACACCGAGGGAATCCTCACATAACCCACACTGAATGATGCTCTACAATCTCTACATCAAACAGTTGTGACACCCATTCTGTGTGGCCACACCCATAGCTATGATGTCCTTGGAGGCCTATCAATCAATGCTAATGGGCTTTGACGCCCTGCACAGTCGTGCTGGCCCAGCTTGAGATGGTATCATAAGCAACGCAGGCCTAACAGCAACAGCATAATAATGGCAAACGGATTAGAACGGACCAGGGCTGACTGGCGACGTAAAGGGCTGAAAAGGGAGAAATCACAGATGCGCAATGAGAATGTATATCCTTCAATACTTTCATATGTTCATAGAACAGCGAAGGAAGCTGCAGAGAAGAAACATTGACAAAGTTACGGGGAGGGATTCCACTCCAGTTCCCTGTGCAGAAGCTGCAAAAGATTCGAGTTTTCATTGAAAACAAGCATGAGCTCAAGGACTGAACTTTTTCCCCTGCCTATCAAACATCAAGAACAAGAGCGTCCAAAAAGAAAGTCGAGGGACATCATCCAATAAAGTGCAACCAACGGAACCATAGGGGAAGCCCAAGCAAGAAGCGGAGGGGAAATGAGGGTGAAGATAGCAAGAGAGGGAATCGAAACAGAGATAGGGGACAAACAAATACCTCATCCTGTTGCAGATTGGCAAACTTCTCATTGGCGATTTCTTCACATCGTACTGTGGCTACCATGACCTGCAAATTGTCAGACCAAAAATTTTGTATAAAACGAAATGAGAACTGTCCTCACCCAAGTCTGCAATTCAAGAAAGTGGCTTGCTCTAATATGCACGGGATTTGCTAAAAACAGTGCTTTAAAGTGGCACACGCATTCCCAATCACCTTTTTGACACCCTGCAACTATGTCACATTCAATATCACCGTCGTCACCCGAAAATAACGCCCATGCGTTATATTCAACTGACCCCAAAAAATCAGATTTTTTTTTCTTACCAAAATAGAACGCCCTTTTGCCCGGGCGTTACATTCGAATTGAACATCCGGGCGTTATCTTTGAAGAGAAAGCCCAGGTGTTATATTTGAGTGTGTCATGGGCAGAGTGCCTTGTAGAGGGAGTATACATGGGCTTTCAAGGTTAGCATTGGCCCCTGCCCAGGTGTTATATTTGAGTGTGTCATGGGCAGAGTGCCTTGTAGAGGGAGTATACATGGGCTTTCAAGGTTAGCATTAACATTGGAACGATACAGAAAAAGATTAGCATGGCCCATGCGCAAGGATGACACACATACACCGCAAAATGGTCCAAAAAAAAAAAAAAAGAATTCTGATGTGACCCTCAGGTTAGCATGGCCCCTGCGCAAGGATGACACACATAAACCACAAAATGGTCCAAAAAACAAAAACAAAAGAATTCTGAAGTGACCCTCATCCAAAAGTTGGTTGCATTGCAATTCTAGACAACTTTGTTTTTTTTATTTTTTGGTTCTACTTTGGAGCGCCACCACGTTGTGCTGGACCAGGTACACGCACGCGACATCACGCCTTGCCCACACTGAACATAACGCCCGGGCATTATAATGAATATAAAGTCGGCCGGGCGTTGTGCTGGGCATTACATTCATATACAACGCCCAAGCATTATTTTCAGGTGGCGACAGTAGTCAGCAACCTGGAATTGGATCTTATTTTTCGTTCCAGAGCGAGCTTATACTAGGACGAGAGTGCCCCTGTAATGAGCCTAGTCTCCTCAAGCAATCAAGTTGTCAGATAACAATGTTGTGCAATGTCGTGAGATAATCATTCCAGCAAGTCCGTCAATTCGAAGTCATTGAAGTTCATGATCTCTCATTACCAGTAAAGTCTCCAAGTCAAGAGTAGCCAGACTAGAAAAGAGAGGGGGGAAGGAAGACAGATGGGGCAGTAGAATGTTGCAGCAGTCAAGTCCCTTTTCTCCTCCAGGGTTCCCACCTCTGCCACATCAGCAATCTGCGCACAGTATGACACATGGATGATGCAAATGCAGCTTCTCCCAGATAAGAGATCCTCCAGCAGCGAGCAGAATCATCAGCACCATCAGATCAGATGAGACCAGGTACACGCACACAACATCACGCCTTGCCCACACTATCATTCCCTCTCCTCAGTACTTCGATGCCGTCTATGGTCGCAGCAATGGCTGCCTTCTCTCTCCTCTCCTACTACAGTATCTGGCTGGCGCCCACGAAGCAGTGTGGCGCCAGCATCCTCCTCTCAAGTCTCACGTACAGCATTGTAGCCGTAAGCAACTCGCAAGACTGAATGTCCAAGCAGTGGTGAAGTCAACTCTATATAGTATTTACTCGCGCTGTCCAGGGTCAGCTTCTGTCCATGCGAGGGTCCGTGCGAGGGTCCGGCCTCCTCTGAATGTCGACGGATCAGATCCAATTTGTCCCGGTTCCCGTCCGGGTGTCAATTTGTGCACGGAGTACAGCAGTCCCAAACCAGACGCCCAATTATACAAACCTACTTTATTTCTGTTATTTATGAGGTTTCTCACTTTTATTTTCCTTTTCTGCACCCTGTGAGGAACAAGCCCTCAAGGGGCCCTATCAGACATCACATGACCTGGGCTAAGGCCCCCAACAAGCCGAGTGCCTGCCCTAAGTGAAGGCGGGCCTGAATATTCGTCAGAGGCAAAATTCAACATTTCCATATGTGGGTATTCAGGCTCTCACAGCACGCCAGTTGGTTGGATAGACGCGTGAGCCTCACAAAGCTGCGTCATACAGTTGACCCAGGCCTTGACAGTTGCGCCTGAGCACATACACACAAAGCAAGGCCGATACATTGGGAAGCAGGCCATTGACCTTTGCAAAAGCAGTACTCCCGACGCACCTGCCTGGGAGCCCTGCACAGATGCAGCAAACAGCCCAAGTGCAGAGACTCAGGCCGTGTCCAACCGTAACGGGTCCAGGCCCTCAACTGTAGTCTCGGGCCTGTGTGCAGGGTCTGAGGCCCAACCGGAAGCTACTGGAAGCTTCCAGCCAGGCCACAACACAGCATCCAGGAGACCGCCACTTCCACAAAAGGAGTAGGGCGGTCCAGGCCAGGCATTCTGGCCAGTGCAGGCAATGCGGAAGTGATGCTGCGCTGCTGCCAAGGGCGCTGACGGGGCGCATAGTGGTGAAGTGGGGTGCTGCAGGGCAGCGGGGCGCAGGCAGCCATAGCCGAGCTGCTGGGCGCCAGTGGGTAGTGGGTGATCTGGTGGTCTTCAGGGAAGGAGGCGCAGCATGGGGTAATCAAGGTCTGATCGAGGGTGACGAGAAGCAGGCGCAGTGTGGGGTAATCAAGGTCCGATTGAGGGTGACAAGATACGTACCCGGTGCATGAAGAGAGGTCGGCTATGGAGTTGACAGTCATGTACATTCGTCTTCGAGAGTCAAGTGAGCCTGTTGCATGAACCAGCTGTAGGTAGGATAGTCAGGCAGAGTAGGTTGGGCGCTGGGCGCCAGACAGAGAGGAGCGACTTTGGATACTGTGTTGGTGTGGCCTACAGGCTTGAACATTAGCTCATTACTTCATTGTATTGCTCTGTATGGATGGTTTCTCGGTGCATTTTGTACTCTCTGCTTGCATACGACTACCTGGACATCTGTGTGATTTCGCAACATTGGTTTTCTGTATGTCGATCACACTCATATTCCTTGCAACCCCTTTCTGTACATGAAAAGCAACTCAAACCTAGTACTCCTACTGGCGTTACAATGTTGTTTAATTAGGGAAGATGGAGCAAGACCTTTTACACACATAGAGACCACATATTATACCCTTAATAGCAAAAAACGACCCACATGCTTGTACATCTGGATTTGTATCCGCACAAATGGACGACATGTTATAACTCAGAAGGGCAGCGATTAACCTTATGGGCAGGCAGATCCAGGTCCTTGTTCTCCTTAATGACGTTCCACATCCCACTGGTACTGAGGCAGAAAGCGGTTCCAGGCACAGCTCCTCTCCGATCCCCTGCAAGACCACCAGGGGAGATAGAGTTCTGGAATCGATCCCGTAGTTCTATGACTGCCCGATGGAACTCTTCCTCTTTCAACTCAAAGTTGGGCAGCGCAGTGACCTCGACCTGCACAACACACAAAACTTCAGGACTTAGTCCAGCGCCAAACTACCTCGATCCCAGAACTCAATCAACCCAACGAAAATGGTATTCATCAAAGGGAGAATCTCTTGAGACAAATCGACTTCCCAACCAACCCCAAATCCCAACTTATGATGAGCCTCTCGACCATGCTGAACATTCCCCGAGCGCTTCTCATTCCAAAACACCGACCACACTGCAGAATGCCTTCCTGAAAACATGAGGTACATAAACAGACTAGGTCCCGTTGTGAACATCCTTGGCCTCGGCTCTTGTGTGAAGTCTTTTCTCCTTGAGATCTCTTCAGCTTCAGTCGACATTTCTGACCCCAGATGTGATTCAACCACTTCTTGTACCAACAACTTAGGATCGGGATCTGTTCGATGGAATGGGATAGGGCAGAGAGTAGAGTGTGCTCAATATGGCGGCATTGTGCGAGATGTTTGGCCACTGTCATTTGTTTCAGTGAGTGAACTCCTTGGATTGCAGTTCAGCGTACACAACATGATGTTGTTCCACATCTGTGTGGAATGAGCACAGTCAGAAATGCTCACCCTGTACATTCCCTGGACCAGAACAGTAAACGCTCATAAACAGATCAAGTGTTCAAATCCGATTGCAAACAATGCAGAGCACTCAAACAGAACACAGCAAACAACAGAGAAGGTTTTGAAGGCAACACAAAGATATTTGCTGCACGCGCAAAGTTGCCCGCCTGCGGCATCTAAAACGAAAAGGCAGAAATACACACTGAAGGACGATGCTGAGAACTTGTCAGTTAGAACGATACCTGGAAGAAATCAGAGATCTTCAAGTCCTTGCCCTTCGGCTTTGGAACACTATCCCAAATCTGCAGCAAAGCCGATAACGAAGTCAGCAATCCACTCGACATGGGCTGGGTTCTAAGAAAATGGCAGGAAACACCATCTCCGATTTGAATCATCCGAAACTCTCCTTCACGAAATGACAAGCAAGCTCTAATCACCTAACTTCATGTTCCATTCTCTGTTTTGTGAGAATTCACTACTAAACACTAGTAATCACCTTTAGTTACGTTTCTTGATTGTACGGCTGGTGACTCATGGCCGTTCTTAGTTGGTGGAGTGATTTGCCTGGTTAGCTCTATATAAAAAAAAGGAGTTCACATTGCATTCCAATTCGAGTAAACAACAGTCTTGAAAACCATGACTTCTGTCCTTCAGGACATGCATTAACATTGGAACGATGCAGATAAGATTAGCATGACCCCTGCACAAGGATGGCATGCACAAATCACAACATGGACCAAATTCAAAAAAGAAGAAGAAGAGGAAGAAGAAGAAGAAGAAGAAGAGGAAGAAGAAGAAGAAGAGGAAGAGGAAGAAGAAGAAGAAGAAGAAGAAGAAGAAGAAGAAGAAAACAATGACTTCCCACAAGCTGACACTTCTTGCAAATATGTATGACGATATATACACCAAAACTGGATGCAGCTGTGGCCAATTCCCAACAAATAATAGTAAAGCGGTTCCTACAACAACATGAGGCGGCAGAGTCCAACAGTCGAAACGAATGTAGAGCCATTATATCCCACCAGAAATGGTGAACGGAGCTTCAAGAATATTCCATTCCTTGGTGTACCAAAAACTGAATCTTGAAGAACAGTGACTGGCTGAATTGGTGTTTAACAACCACAGCTTTCAAGCTGCGAAAGACCCTAGCAACTAGCCCGACTCAGAATAACACGTTCATGAACCACAATGACATCTCTATGCCAGTGTTCTGGCTCAACAATAAAGAGGACGGTTTTCCTTGAATATTTGAAAAACAGAAAAACAGAAGGATTCTTTTGGAACGCACCTTCTGGATGTCCTCCCTCAAGATTGGCTCCAACGTAGAGAGCGGAGTCTGACAAGAGCAGAAAGAAACAGAATGACAAGTGGTCACACGATGAGGTAGGGAAATCATGAAGGACATGGCACTATCACTGCCCTGTGTGTTATGTTCTCAGGATCACAAACAGAGATATGCATGGGTTCTTCATCAAACAACAGAACAGAAGCAAGCAGAAGTGAACAAAGCTCAAGTACAGGAGCAACTTCCACTGGTAAATCGAACAAATGTGATGCAGGGACAGGAAAGTAGAAAGGAGTATTCAACTAAGTATGGCTGCACAGTCCGGCAACTACATCCACTGGAGAATACGATTTCAATTACCTCTCATGCCCAGCCCAATCACTTAGAACAACAAACACTCGGAACAATCCAGTGCAAACAGCAATACAGACACAAACGGTTTGGTCCTTTGACTGCCACAGCATGTGCCCCTACCACATATGAAAGGGTCCACAGGAGCACATGTCCACCAGGAAGATATACTTGAGACCAGACATATGGACCTGGCATAGCCATTATGTTCTGAAGACAAAAATCATGACGGCTAAAAGTTACATTCCTATTCCGTCAATTCTCTGTTGAAAGCATCAGGTCACTGTTGGAAGACAGCGCCTGGACTGTGTTCTGAAGCTATTCCCCAATCGAGTCTGCATGGGTTGCAGGTGTAATCAGCAGCGCACCTGCACCATACCCTTCGCACGGTGCTGTGCACTAGGAACTGGTGCAGCACATCGAGAGCTGAAACACACAATGGAACACATTACACATGTGGGCATCGCATGACTGTCAACCATATGGCTTTAGCATAAGCCAAGCATAATACAAGGGGGAGAAGAAACACACAATGGAACACGTTACGCATGTGAGAGCTAGGGAGAGACGATTCAACAGCTGGTGTCCCTAGTTTGTCATCACAAAGAAGCAGCATTTCAAACTGGCCTCTATAACTTCAGTTCACAAAGACACGCATTTCAAGATCCGCTGCCATGGATCATTGTTACAAGCCAAGCATCTGAAGACCAACATCTGAGATCTTACAGATCTCCCAAAATGCAATCAACATCTGAGATCTCACAGATCTCCCAAAATGCAAGCAACATCTGGGATCTCACAGATCTCCCAACATGCAAGCACTGCAAACAGGCAGGGAAATTTCTGAGCTATTTGCATACTAACAGGGTAAGAGTTTTGTGAATACTTCCTGTTCTTAATGTTACCTCAACAAAGAAGGAGAAAGTGGGACTTGTCTTTTCTCTTAAAGCTATCGGAAGTGGACCTTGATAGGGAAGAGATCCATCACTTACCCTTGTCTTGTCTCGAATAACGAACAACAGCAAAGTTCTCCTTGGGGTGAACAGTCTCATCATAACCTGCAGAAGTCACATAACACACCCTCGTTAATGTCTTTCCATTCCACTGTCAACGCAGCACACCCTCTGTATACAGCTCTCAGAACACTGTTTCAACCTGGCTGCTCACCTGCAGTGTAAATGCCTACTGGATTACTGTGAAGTCCTCGCATGGCATGGCACTCGACACACAGAAAGGGAACTCCTTTATCGTCTACCCCAACGGTTGATGATCAAACACAGTGGCATCTTTCCTGAAGAACGATCTGTCCATCTCATGGTTTTTAACTACCTCACTAGAATAACAACCGCGAGTTCCACCTAAAAGCTTCAGTTCTGTCTACAGATGGTCTGACTCTCTTAATCCGAGATTCAGACCCTCACCCATGGCAGTGACGAGAGGAACAGGGCTTCTGCAGATGGCTTCATAAGCCACCACCACAGGTGAGAAACATAAGACATAAGACAGAGCTGGAAGTGAGTTCAATCCCTCACCTCTTTTGTCTTCTGAAAAAATGGGGCAAGGAAGGTGGCGTAAGCCCCAAGCATTGTTGTATAGATCAGAACTTGGAACTCAAATCATCATCTGTTTATCAGCAGTTACATGACAGCCACCAAGCAGGTACTACATCTCACTGTCTGCCAAACCCTCTTCTTGAAGTCATCGCCCAACAACGAAAGAGACTTCAGTGAAGACAAAGAGTTGCTCTTAAATACTGAGAGAAAACATATGGGATTCCATTCCATCTGAACTGGCTTCTATTCCCACCCTCACAGGCTGGCTTTTCTTGCGCTTCTGCACCTCCTCCAAGCCCTTTCACAGGTTTCTTATCGGCTCTTTCTCCAGGCTCATGCTCGACAACAATTATGCGGCCTCGAATCTCAAAAAACATACAAGTTTCCTCTCTCCTAAAACACAACCCATAAAATGGAGAGATGACAGTGGCAGCAACCTCACCTGGAAAACAGTCTTCAACAGTGGTTTGTTTGCCGCCTGCTCACGCCCGATATCATGACACCACCTTGAAACATACACAAACAGAATCTGTCATAAACACCTCATAGAACCACCAAGATGTCCCCAAGCTGAGGACCAGCCACTAGCACTGTACTATCAATTGTTGAACCCTTGAACCCTTTCACCGTTTCTTTGCAAACCACAATCCTTGAACAACCTACCCTGCCAGGCATTCACTCGCTCTGTCATAAATGACTACGCATACACACACATCGATGAACAGTGATGGGCATTGCGGGTGACGCAGGCCTCAAAATTAGAACTTCTGGACAGTTTGATCATCCCTTCAACTATGCCAACATTCATCAAAATATATATACACAGTTTAGAGTTAAATCTTGGTCTGCTAACCAGCTGGGCAACCGATACCCCGAGGGACAACTAGAAAGGAACACACTAGCAATGCTCCCAGCCTCCCAAAAATATACCCCAAACACAGCAAACGTAACAGCCAGTAAGCATCATGCAAGCACAATTCCCAAAAGATGAGCATGAATTCCACGTCCTTCACAGAAAACTCACGTGATACACAGAAGATTAGCATGGCCCAAATCAAGGACTCTAGATCCTGAGTGGGGAAACATAGGATTGGGGGAAGGTGGCGAGGGGGAGTGCAAGAAACAACATCCAGTGAACATTTCCGATAGGTACTCGAACATGTGTATTGCAACACAGAGAGCTAGCGAGAGACTAGGAGGAGGAGGAGGAGGAGGAGGAGCGTACATGTTGATTAAAACAATATCTGAAACTGCAAGGGCAAACAAGGAGCTTTGTTTCTCAAACGTTGTATCATCCTGCAGTCAGAAACAAAGCAACGAGAAGAAAGAAATTAGCAAATACACTGTTCAGCAAAAAGCAAGCCTAATGACCTCGACCATTCCCACACAAACCAACTACAGGACAGCATGTAATTTAGTGCAAACAATGACATAGCCTGCATAGCTTGCCGAACATGTTTGTGCCCCTCTGCGTTCGCACGAACAGCTCACGAACGTGTTCGGGCAAATAATTTTTTTTTCCCGTAAAAATAAAATAAAATTTAATTTCCTTTTTTTTTGGTTCTTTATTCTCAACTCGCTTTTGGCTAAGAATTTGAACACGACTCGGCAAAGTTGCTTATATTGTTGTTTTACATAACATATATTTTTTCAGATTTTCCCAAGACTTTTTTTTTTTATGTTCGCGTTCGGAGGGTTTTGGGCGCTAGTTCGTGTTCGGGCGAACATGTTCAGGTTCGCCTCGGAACGTGAACACGATGCTACACAGGTCATAGCATATTCTTTTTTCCCAGGTCCAACCAGCAGCTAAATAATCCTCGTCATCGACGGACAGCAAGCATTCACTCTGCAGTGACCAGACTAGCTTTTGTAAACGTTCCCCCACCCTTGCACGGCAGTGAAGCACATGACCCCTATTCACCTACTTACTGCCCTTAGAACAGTTTCCACATGCAGATCAAACCCAGTGCAGCAACAGCATACCACACACTTAAAAGCCGACCCCACAGGACACATAATCAAATGCATGCTTTGGCAACTGCACTTCCAATGGTCGGAGGTCCCCTGACAGGTAGGTACTGTGCAGCCAACGGGTCGACCCGTCAGGGCCCACCGGTCGGTGGGTTGTTGGCCAGCACACTGCCTGGGAGGTGGAAGTGTAGTCAAGGAGACATGGCAGCTTAGACACAGTTGCTCAAATGCAAAACAGTCAAAGGATTTCAAGGGACTGACTTGAATTTCTTTTCCTCCTCCTCAGATCCATTTTCGAGCTCAGTCAACTGCTACCAGCCACACATTCTCAATCTGTCTGTCCTTGTCCTAATCCATTTGCTCCTTTTCCTTCGCACTTTGCATGCAACTTTGAAACCCTCCACATCACGCCTCATCCTTGGTAGTTGAAAGCAGTATCCTTAGACTGGAAGCCGACCCATAGGCGACCTCCCAACCGTTTAGGCTCTCAGCTGGTTTAGCCTAATCCGAGACCTTCAGCAGTATACCCAGTGGCACCTAGCAGGGTCAGGGCTTTGGCAGGGGGTGGGAGGAAGGGAGTGGAGCACGCTGAGTTTAGCGACGTTTCACGCTCAGAATCTGTGATACAAAAGAATCTGATTAAAAAATCAGAGATATAGATTGCAAAGGATCTTTCAATGCTATAAGAAGAAGAAAACCTGGCTGACAAAAAGAAACATCCTGACAGCAAAAGGCAGAGCCCTTGAAAAATGTGGATGTAAACCAATTCATCGCAAAAGTTTGCCTAGGAGAGGTAGTGGGGGGGGGGTTAAAACGAACACGGTGCTCTTCCTCATTATGTAAACTCGTTCACCCCCTGGATAGGGACCAGAGTGACGTAGCCCTGTAGTCTGGCTCTGCTTAGATTTAGGTTACAATATAACAGCCCATAAAACAGATAGGCTCCTATATTATGCTTGGTTGAAGGTCTGACCTCTCCTCTTTCTCGCCCATCAGTGCCTTCCAAATCAAACACCAATGTTGTGGGCTCCACCCCTTTTGCTTTCGCCAACCAAACGCCCTGAGTCGTCTGTGTCCTGCAGGTGGAGAAACGAACAGCTTTGAGATACAATTCCAAACAGCTAAAGAAAAAGACCTGGGAGAACAGTGAAGACTTGCAAACGCCCACTTCACAATCTGACAACCCAGGACGATTTCATCCAACAGAGCTGTAAGATGAAAGCATAGGAAGAAAATTATCAGTCATACAAAATGCATCACATTGAACTAACATTTTCACCCGAACTCGTCATTATCGCTGCATCTGGTCTGAAAGTTGCCCCAAATACAGCTATAATGACCAGGTGTTCTATTCGGATGAAGATGGTAGGTACATCCTATCAGAGACAGCTCTCTCTCTCTCTCTCTCTCTCTCTCTCTCTCTCTCTCTCTCTCTCTCTCTCTCTCTCTCTCTCTCTCTCTCTCTCTCTGAGTGTGTGTGTGCATGTGTGTGTGTGCGTGTGTGTGTGTGTATGTTGTCATGTTCCCTATACACAACTACACAGCAAAAAGCATGACTGTGGCTGCCTGTTGGTGAAACCCTAACCGTCTGCCCAGAATGCATTTGGCTGATGGATAAGGAGTAATAGGGACTCATTAGTGATGCCCCTGCGCAAAGTGGTCAGCTTCACTGACACCAACCCTG